CTCTCTCTCTCTCTCTCTCTCTCTCTCTCTCTCTCTCTCTCTCTCTCTCTCTCTCTCTCTCTCATACATACACACTTCTAAGCACTTATTGAAACATTATCTCTGTATACTTAGCTGTATTTGTGCTTCTATTCAACACACACTGTTTTGGGAACACACGCCTAGGAGGTAAGACTACAGCTGTTTATGGATTAACACAAACATCAAGATGCTGCTTATGTCTGGGAGCGGGCTGGAAGTTTGAATTAGAAGGCATTCAGAGAGGTTCCCTATGGTAATGTTCTGGCCCTCAACCTGTAGGAAGTATATAAGCAGTAATGAGATCATGTGTCCATGTGGACCAACTGAACTCTGAGCAGAGGGAAGAAGAAGCTGGGAACAGGTCTATGGAGCTAGTGCTTGCCTGCACCACAAGCATGAGAGCCAGAGAGCCCCAGAATCCATGGACGTACTAGGTGAGTGTGACATCCCACCTGGAATTCCAGCCTTGAAAGGTTGGACACGGAGGATCCCCAGAGCAAGCTGGCTAGAGAGACTAGCCATTTTGATCAATTCCTGGTTTGATTGCCAGTCTCAATTAGCGAAGATCAGTGAAGTATAATTCCTAGATCAACGTTAGGTCTCCACATGCACTTGTTAACTCACGGCTACCCACATACATGTCAACATGCATGCACATACATTCATCTCATTTGTGCCCACATACACATCAACATGCATACATAAATATTCATGCGGAAAAGGAAAAAATAAGGGAAAAGGACACAGGAATTCTCTATCTTTCAATGACATAGTCAGGAGGCAACAGAATTTCAATAGAGCACCAGCCAGCAGGCCAGTGCTGAGGGTTTGGGAGGTGGTTTTTTCCCTGCCTCCAGCCTCTCTCTCTGTCTCTGTCTCCCTGTGTGTCTCTCTCTTACATATGTGTTCATACACTTATGTATGGATAACAGACCTTAACCTTAAGTGTAACACACTTTTTTTTTTGAGACATCTCATCAGGAGCTAGCATTCCCTGACTGAAAAGCTGGTCAGCTAGTGAACCTTGGGGATGTACATGTTTCTTCCTCCCTAGCATGAGGATGGCAAGTTCATGCCACCATACCCAGACTTCCTGTGGGCATTAAGGCCTAGACTAGGGCCGAGCTATCTCCTTGGGCATAGTTCTCACTTTTGAGACATACTCCTACTAAGTTTTCCAGGCTGACCTTGAACTCACACTGTAACCCAGACAGACTTTGAACCTGAGATCCCCCTGCCTTGGCCTCCTGTGTAAGTAGGAGTACAGTTCGGGGCCACCAAGGAGCTTCTTTTACCTGTTCCTTCCAACTTACAAGCCGTCTTTTATGAAAGCCTTTTAAGTGCACCTCATGTTCCTCATCAGGACCCTGGCTGCCAGTGTGCACGTGCGTCTCTGCCTGGAGTGGTTTTTCATATATTCTTATGAGTTCTGAGGACCAAAATGTCACCAGAAGCCCCAAAGAACTGTCTCCCTCATGGGTTGGTAGTTTGCACAAAGTTCCAGAAACTTCTCTGACCTTTTTTCTTTTTTTTCACTTTTATAGAATTTTAATGTTTGAAAATTGACCAGCTCCCAATCTTTTGATTATTATAAACAAAATGATGTTATCATGGTTTATAGAACACTTGTTGGATTCATGACATATTTTTGGAATCTGTAGAAGCAAAACAGGTTTTCTTTGGGTTTGTTATATCTTCACATATTCTAATTATGTGAATACATTGTTTAGTTAAATATAATTTTAGAAGTCATCAAAAATACTATCATTAAGGTATAATAGACATTAGATCAGTTTTTTATTTTGGATTGAAGAGAGTATGTATGCTAGCAAATATTAACAATGGTCTGTCGCTCAGTCTGACCTTTTTTTCAACCGCAATATACAATCAAGTGTCACCACAAACAGCCTTGTCCCAAGAAAACTATGCAACTCAAAACACTTTAAGATTTAACTCTGGATTTTTGTGCAGTGTCTACCCATTGATTTCATATTTATTTTATGTTTCATTCTCCTAACCCTGTGAACGTTCTAGGGACAGTCACCTCTGCCTTGTGTAGTTTCTGTTTCTGTCACACTTCTGACCCTAGGAAAGGAAGGATGCAACGGTCGCATGCATCCTCTCTGGTTTCTTTCACAGGCTGACTCATAGGCTGGCTGACTCGAGCATCACCCCTCCCCTCTGGAGATCAAAGCTCACCTCAGGAGAACCTCTCAAGGAAGAAACAGCAGCGGAACCCCGGCCCAGGCAGGAAAAGCCAGTCAACAGTGAGTGACGCATTTATAGATGGATTCTGCTGGGGGTTGTGTGGAGGGGAAGTTGAGGAAGCTGTCCAGGATGGAGGCAGGGCCCTCGGGGGCTTGGGTTGAGGTAGGCCTCCAAGAAAACAAATATGGCAGGAGAACAAGCTATTTGTGTTGATAAACACAAAAAGAGGGGAAGTGACTAGGTGGAGGGAAAGTGGGTTTCCATGTAATGTGCCCTGTGCTAGGAATGGATATGCTTGGCTCCTGGGGGACTAAGGGGAAGGAGCAGAAGAAGCTGGAACAAAAGGAGGCAAGGTCTGGTATTCTTATACACAGGGGATCTGGGGGTTAGCAGAACTGTGTTCAAATCCTGAGATGTTTCTTTTTTCTAAGTATATGTACATGTGTAAGTATGACTTTATGTGCACATAACTGCAGGTACCCACAGGGGCCAGAAGAAGGCACCAGACCCCCGGAATTGGAGTTATTGATGGCTATGTGCCATCTTGTGGCTGCTGGGAACAGAGCCTCTGCAAGAGCAACCAGTGCACTAACCACTGAGCAATCTCTACAGAACCCACCCTGATCTTACTATCTGTGGAATGGCAATGATAATTCCCCACCAGAGCACTGCTGGGTGTCTGACACAGGGAAAGCTCTAAAAACAAAAACCGCATTCTTTGTCCATGTTGGGATGATAGTCTGCAAGACAGTGAGATAGGAAAGAACGAGGTAGCAATGTGTTCTAGGTGTGCTGTGCTAGGCTGTCAGGCACCTGGGCTTCAATCAAGGCTCCAACAGAAAGTCACCATGTGAGTCTAATCAAGGAGCTGCCCATCTCTAGAGACTGGGGTCACCTGTCTAGAATTATGGACTCCAGGCTTCTTGCTAATGCTAATCCTGGTTCCAAATCCATTTTGGGCTGGGAAAAAGCTCAGTACAGTGTTTGCCTCACGAGCGTGAGGGCCTGTGTTAGATCCCCCAGAAACCACATTAAAAAGCCAGGAGTGGTGGAGGATGTTTGTAATCCCAACTCTGGGAAAGTGGAGACAAGTGGATCCCTGGGGCTTGCTGGGCACCAGTTTACCCTACGTAGCAAGCTCCAGACCAAGAGAAACCTCTCTAGTTTCTTTCACAGAGTGAGTGAGTCACAAGCTGATTGACTCTCAAAACACAAGGTAAATAGCACTCCTCTTAGGAGTGACACCTGAGATTCGCCTTCACACACATGAGAGAGAGAGAGAGAGAGAGAAAGAGAGAGAGAGAGAGAGAGAGAGAGAGAGAGAGAGAGAGAGAGAGAGAGAGAGAAATTCCAAGAAAATTTTCTGACCAAGCATGCCAACAGAGTCCTGGAGGTATGCACACTCACTGTTATGGTCTCCATGGAAATGATGTTACCAACTCTAAGTCCATTTCTCTATCCCAAATCTACTTAGGGGTCCTACCACCTCCCAGTAGGGACCAATCCTTCTGCAAGCTAACCTTTGTGGGACATTAAAGACATAAGCCAAAACACTATCTTGGGTGAAGAGTAGCATTTTAATTCTCTCACTAGGAAGCCACATCTTGGTTTCTGTCTGCTGACCTTGCATTCAGCCCTGAAACCACCAGGCTGGTTCCAAACCTGCTTGAGAAATCTTTCACAGCCCTGACTGGGGGATATTTCCTTAGCATGAGCAGTGACATCAACATTAGTGAAGTACAAGAGAAACATTCTTTCTGGCTGACTCCTCTCTCCAGTGAATGAGGGGGTCAATATAGTCTTACAGAGGTCACAGCATGGCGTGGAAAGTCCTTCTGTATATATGTTGTTTTTATTGGTTAATGTATAAAGTTGCATTGGCCTACAACAGGGCAGAATAGAACTAGGCAGGAAAACTAAACTGAATGCTGGGAGAAAGTAGGCAGAGTCAGAGAGATGCCATGTAGCTGCTGAAGGAGAAAGACATCTGCCAGAGCATGTCAGAATCTTGCCAGTAGGCCATGACATTGTGGTGATACACAGATTAGAAGAAATGGGTTAATTTACAATGTAAGATTTAGTTAATAAGAAGCCTAAGCTATTGGCCAAGCAGTGTTGTAATTAATATAGTTTCTGTGTGATTATTTAAGGTCTGGGCAGCTGTGAACAAACAAGCAGTCTCTGCCTACAACAGCATGTATATAACTCCTGCAGGAGACACTGCAGACATCAGATACCCAACAGTTCCATGCCCAAAGCCAGCTGCTTGAAGACTGTAAAATTCATTCAAGTTTTTTTGTCCTGCAGCCAGGGCTGGCTTAGTGGACATGAAACCTGCCTATTTCCATGAGTCCTTTGCTCAGAAAGTTCCTGCCTTCGGTGTATTATTAGTGCTACACATTTCAAACTGCTGTCCCAGGATACAGAGAATCATTGGTCACTAACATGATACTAACATATAAAGACACAGTAGGGATTTAAATAGTGAAAACACAGACAGCTGAAGGATTCCTCAGGAAGGAAAAAGCCTTCCGATTTTGTTCCTGTGGTGGCATTCTCTCTTGATTTTTGAACAAGTAGCCATGCCCTTTTATCTGCATAAGTGAAAGGGCCCAGACACTACAGGAAAACAAAAGCTCCTTCTTCCAGGACCATCTCTCAATGGGTCTCTCTCCATCCCTCTGTTTCCTCCTGTTCCTCTTTCTTGTCCCCCTCCTCTGCCCCCTTTACTTTCTCTTTCCTGTTCCTCCTCTTCCTCTTTCTCCTCTCCTCCTTTTTTCCTCCACAGGGTCTCATGTAGCCAAGGCTGGCCTCAAACTTACTCTGTAGCCAAAGATGACCTTGATCCTCCTATCTACTCTTCCCAAGTGCCAGGATGACAGGCATTTGCTACCACACCCAGCTTGTGCAGTACTGGGGATCTTATGTGCAGTACTAGGAACTTATGAGTGCTTGGCAAGCACTCTACCAACTGACCTGCCCAGTCTGTACTCCAAGTCCTTTGCTCTAATCACTACGTGCTTCTCCTCTTACTTTCAGAATTCCTGAAGAGATTAGACTGGAGAAACCAGCGGCTCAAAATTGAGAGACATCCACCATCACAGTTCAGGACAGTAGCCAACATTGGCTCAGCCATGTTCCAAACATTTCTGTCAGACTCTCAGCTTGGCTGGTGTCCAACTAAGTTGAGATTCCCCCAAAATGTTCCAGAAGTGTGTCTAGTAACCCAAGTTTGCAAAGCACACAAAACAAAACAGCACTCATAGGCTCTGGGAAGTCCTATACCAGAAGACAGACAAAGAAAACACTCAGGTGAACTTCGAAGAACCTAGGTCTTCAAAGCTTATTATTTCTAAACAGATTTCAATTTCTTTCTGTACATAGCACCTCATGGATCAGGCTTAGGCCCCTCATCCTGTGGCTTTGAATCAAGCCCTACCAGGAGTCTAGAAAAGTCTCCTAATCTCTTTAATATTCAATTTTCTCATATGTAATATGAGGTTAATAATCCTATTTTGTCAGGAAGATAAAATAAAATCATGAGAAATGTACATAATAAACAATTGATAAAGACAAAACTCTGTGTAGATTGTTGTTCTCATTTTAATATCATTTTATTCTAATTAACAATGTTCTTATTTGAAACAGAGTCTTGTTTTGTAACTCAGAATGGCTTCTAATACACCATATGCCCTAGGAAGGACTTGAACTCACAGTTCTCACTGCTTCATGACCCAGAGTGTTGAGGTTAAGTGCTTCCCTTCCATAAGCTGCTGTTGCCTGCGTACTCACAGGCTATCTGTCTCCATGTCTCCTGATTCTTGTTTTCTTGATCCTCAACTTGGTACTTGTTATGAAATCAATACCCACCTGCCTAGCCAACTCACACCCATGGTCCATCTACAGCACTAGGGACAGTGTTTTGCATTTCTCTATTGGATCATTGTAGTGACCCCACACTGAGGGGCATCTGTCAGGGTTCATCTGTCATGAGTCCCACATTGTGGCACCATATGTTGTGACCCCACATTAGGGTGACATCTGTCGGGGTCCAGCCTCGATGGGTTCATACATTCCAGGGTAGGGGTGTGTGGATTCGAAATGCTAGGCAGAGTAAACAGGGATACAAAAGAGATACAGAGACTTAGGATAGTACTGGGAGGGCACTCCAGTGAGTACTGAATGTATTTATTTCTTATAATCTTTAAATACCCCAATCCATAAAGGGGGGAAGAAAGCAAAAAACTTTTTATCATGATATAAGGAACAAATGAAGTGATTACCATCTTAATACCCAAAACACCAAGTAACCACACCCTAGGTCAAGATATATTTGTTATAGCCACACCTTAATGTGGTACCAAAACATGGGGCTGACAGGTGAACCTCAAAATGCACAGAAGTGTGGCCAGGTGTACAAGGGAGTACATGAGGGACCCTGCAAGAAAATTGCACCACAGATGGAGAGGTGAGTAATGAGCACTTGGAAATAAATAGTAGATAATAGAAAAGGAAAGAGAATGGTGGGACATAAAATCAGAAGTAAAACTGTAAATATTTGTAAATATGGAACAAGGAAATCGTATTCAACTATCTGTACAGTTGCTTGGATGCATTTTGATAGCTAGAGGAGCTGAAATGGAGCAGAAGCAAAGGAAGAGATGTTTAGAGTTTGTAAATATTATATTCCTAACCCCGTGCTGGCGGCATATGTGCCGCTGCCTTGAGGCTGCTCCTGGTCTTGGAAAGACCAAAATGAGGCCTTGCCTTTGCCCCTGCAAGTGGTGGTGCTGTGATCACCAAGCTGCAGCCTTTCCTGCTGCTGACTGCATAAAAAGAGAGAAGGGAAAATGGCATTTGGCCTAGCAATGGCCTAGGTTACCACTGGGATTGTAGCAGTCCACTCGCACGCACTTGTGGCCAGGTGAGTCTGATCCATGCTGTGCAGTGGAGCCAAAAAAGGTGGAAGACAGGAAAGTTTAAAGGGCTATACCTCCCACAGTCAGCATCCTGTTGGTCAATGGAAATACCTACAGGCTAATTGACCCATGAACCAAGGAACCTATATGGATAAATTTATGACTTAACAGAGGAGAGAATTCAAGAATTCTCTTAATTTTGTGATTACAAGATTTAAAATAAAAAAGTAAGGATAGTAAGAATTGACATGTTCTCACACAGCAGTCTCAGAGCCGCTACAATGGCAGACACCTGAGAGCCTGTAAATTTGTCAGCCACCCCTAATGCTGGTCCATGTCAGGACCACTACTAGCCAGAGCAGACAATGAGGGACCGGCTGCCTGGTCTGTCCTGTCCCTTTAAGAGACAAGCCCTGCTCACTTCCTCCCCTGTCTGCTGAGGCAAGCAGATCTTCCTTCCACATCCAGTCTTAGTTACTTCCTTTCTGTCCTGAAAAGGCAGCTTCTGCCTCTCTTCATTCTGCCCTGTTCTTCCCTCCCCCTCTCTACCTCTCTTTGCTCTTCTACCTTCTCCCCTTTCCTCTTTTCCCTTCCCTTCCATAACCCACTAAATAAATATCCAACCCTCACTCTGCATGGTGTGTCTAATGGGTCTCTGTCTCTCACCCACCACGCAGCTCCCTACCTGGGACTGGCAGCCTGCTCTGGTCTCATGCCCACTGCCTGCTGCCACCACTTGGGGAATGGCACCATTTTATTTTTACCATAACAGTCCCAAGTATCCAGGCAGGACAGTCAAGTGATACAGGCAGCACGATTGTGCCCCACCACATGGCCCAGCTTCAGGCCAGTCATATGTCAGTGAAAATGTAAATGAACAAGTTAAACCTGTCAGCTAGGCAAACTTACAACTTGGATTGGAAACATTAATAAAATATCCAATGGTAATGGCCTTATTTAAAGATTCCTGTGGGAGACTTCAAGCTAATAAGTGGCCTCAATTTTCTCCTCAGGGGAAAAAAAGACTTGTTACAAGGAGTTACTGAAGCCCCTCTTCAGATATGAGGAGGGTAGCCTAAGGGTTTTTGCTGCTGCTCAGAGACTGGAACTTAAAACCAGTACCCATTACAAAAACATCTTCTTGTCTTTTGGTTAGAATGGATTTAAGAGAATCATGGATTGATGAATTGTGTTTTGGTATTGACCTGTTAATGCTTTAGTTCACCATAAGATGTTAATGATTATAAAGATATTAGAACTTGTCTAAGAAAAGGTTGACATTACCAATGAATTCTTGAATTTGACATGTTTGATAAGACAAATTTAGATTTTGATATGGCTGAATACTATTAAGAAACACTCCAAACCAATTCAAAGTGGGCATTCCCAACCCTGGTGATCCTACATACCTTTAATTAGGAAACATTATAGCCATAGAAGTATGCATAGCACAAAGTATTATCTGCTTGCTTACCATTAGTGATCACCATTGACAGAAGCTTGGCTCAGAGATACAGAGCCCAGAGGTAATTTCTCCCTTAACCCTTTGATTACAGAGGTTGGCAGTCAGTGATGGGTTTGATCCACCCCCTCCAGGTGCCTAAGACATGGACTTGCATAGTTGGGATGCATGTACCGAAGACAGATAAGTTTGGGAAATGGAAAATCTGTCATGTTGCAGAAGCACAGGCTTTATTAAAATTAATTAAAAGGAAGAAATTGTGGAGGCCAAAAAATGTGAGCCTATTTCCACGTTGACCAAAGGTCAGACACAGCATTGGAACTTACCTCTAGTTCCTTCAAGGTTGTGTTTCTACCTCAAACAAAGGTCCAACCTAGATTTCGAGCAGAGAGTTCTGCTCTCTCAAGGTTATTGTCAACAGGTGTGCCTCAAACAAAAGTCTAAGGATATAACTAAGGTTTCAGTTTCCTTATGGAGATAACTTTGGATTCCACCCAGGGAGTGGTTTGCCTACAGAATGTTTTAGTCTAGGGTAAACATGACTTGTTTTGTTCTAGCAACAGAATGTTTAACCATGGAAGCAGCCCGCAACCTACAATTGGTATGTTCATTTCCTAGTATTGTCTTAGTGCAATTTTTTGTCTTACTCCTAACTTTTGGGGTCAGGGATATTTAAAGAAATTGGAAATTAAACATGGGTGAATTTCAGTACTCACTGGAATTCTCTCCCAATGCTATTCTATATCTTTCTCTGTTTTATTATTTTTATTTGTGTCTTCATATTCTTTGCTAATATTTTCTAACTCCCCACACCTCTACCCTGGCAAGAGGTATTTTTGTCGAGGCTGGTCCCTGACACCTTAAGTTAAACTTCCTGTCAATAACCTTGAAGAAGCAAGAACAGGCTTAAACTCTCTGACCTTTAGTCAAGGTAAAACGGATCCACTTCTGTGTGCCCCACAGAAACAGAAGCTTAAACAGAAGCATAATGAGGAATGGTGCAGAGTACAATACCAGGTCCCTTTAACTGTCTAGTGATGAAGAATGTGTAGTCTATGTCCTCATTGAGAAATGCATTCGTTATTTACAATGTCTCTTTAAAATGTAACCATGTGCTGAAAGCTATGCAAATTACAAAGTAATAAAAGATGGCTGATCCATTGCTGCTCAGAGACAGACACCAGCCAGAGGCAAAGCATCAAGTTCACAAGAGTCCCAGTCTAGAAGAGCTATCTGGTACACACTGTGATCAGTTCAAAGCAAGACTGCCAGCGTGGCTGATACTGAGCCCTGTGTCACTGGCAGTTGGCTGACTGCTTGTTGACACCCCCTCTCTTCCTTACTTGTCTCAGGACTTCTCTTCACATCTCACCGCTTTCAGCACAGTTCCTGTTGAAGAGATCCCAGGGCCCTGGATGACCCTCAGACTCAACAGCAGTCTCTCTTCCTCAGCCTCTAGACTGCTGGACTTACAAACCTAAGTCATCAGGTCCAGTTAGCAATTAAATTTAGCATAAGGTTGGAGTGCTCATAGGAGGACTAAATGACAGGGGTCATTTGAGGCTAATAGTTCAAGGTCACACCTCTAAGCTACAAGCTGCTACTGTCAGCTTGGTATGAACCCACAAAGCTAATAACCAATAACCAAAACTTAGCATCTTGGCTTTGGTAACCATATCTGCTAATTTAGTTTTGTTTCCTTCCTTCTTCCAACATTGACTGTTTTTTCTTTGGTTGGTTGGTTTGATTTGGTTTGGTTTGGTTTGATTTTGGGGTTGATTTCTTCCCCAGCCTAAGTTATGCTAGCTGCAAGGGATTCTAGGGGCTAATTTTTTTTTAAGTTCCCATCATTTATAACATGGACAGAGAGAGGTTGAAGCTCATGGAAGAAAGTGAACCAGATTCTGAGAGACTATCTATAAAAAACAAGAACAGATTCTGTTTTTTGTATGCTTTCAATTTGTTGTAATAGGAGCGGCGGGGCTGTGGCACCTGGCCACCCACACGGCTAGCTTATGCC